TGGCAGAGGGTAGATTTAGGCTAGATATCAGGAGGCACTACTTCACTGTCAGGGTGGCTAGGATCTGGAACCAACTTCCAAGCAAAGTGGTGTTGGCTCCTACCCTGGGGGTCTTTAAGACAAGGCTAGACGTACACCTTGCTGGGGTTGTTTGACCCCAGTACTCTTTCCTGCTGGGGGGTTGGACTTGATGATCTGCTCAGGTCCCTTCCGACCCTACTAACTATGAAACAAGGGGAAAGATTGGAAGCAGGAGCCACTGCTGCAGGTGGGGGCTCAGAACTGCATCCAGCTGCAGCTGCACCAGGAACAGCCCCACCAGATGCTGGACGCTGGCCAGGGCCCGGGCTGGCAGGCACTGGTGGCAGCCCAATGTGGGCTGCCCCAGCACAAGTGAGCAAGGCAAGGCCCCATGCCGAGCACTATAGGGGTAGTCTCAGGGTGGATCCAGTCACCTGGTGGGCCAGATCCAGTCTGAGGGCCATATTTTGCCTACTCCTGGTCTACATCCTTTCCATAGTGGGAGGGCCCAAAACTGAACACAGTACTCCAGATGCAGCCACACCAGTCCCAAACACAGGGAAAGAATTACTTCCCTTGATCTGCTGGCAACACACCTACCAATGCAGCCCAGTATGCCATTACCCTTCTTAGCAACAAGGGCACAGTGGCTTATATTCAACTCATTGCCCACTGTAACGCCCAGGTCCTTTTCTGCAGAGCTGCTTTCTAGCCAGTTAGTCGGCCCCCAGCCTGTAGTGGTACATGGGATTGTTCTGTCTCCAAGTGCAGGACTTTGCACTTGTCCTTGTTAAACCTCATGAGGTTTCTTTTGGTCCAATCCTCCAATGCATCTAGGTCTCTCTGAATCCTAGCCCTACCCTCCAGCATATCTCGTACTCCCCACAGCTTGGTGTCATCTGCAAACTTTCTGAGATTTCACTGTATTCCATCTTCCAAGTCACTTATGAAAATGATGAAGATGAAAATATCTCCCTAAAGTATGCAAGGCCTCCCCACCCCAACAGCTCCCAGACCCTGGTGTTATGTGCTCAGGGCCTCACCCCTTCGCATCCACTGGCTCTCCAGCTAAGCTCAGGGATTGCCACAGTGGCTGCTAATTAACCTGCTGCATCTTAGCTCAGCTGCCTCTCCTTGGCTTAAAGAGCCTGGGCTACTTCTGCCCTGTACTCTTCCAGGGTCCATAACAGACCCCTGCCTCGGGGTCCGTTTTCTTGTTGTGGCTGGCTGTTGTAGGTTTTAGCTCTTGTGGGCTACAAAAGTCCTGCTCCCCCTTTTATCACAGTCAACAAGATTGGGGTTTCCTACTTACGGGCCAGAAGGGTGGGGAAAAGAAATCAGGATTGTAATAAACCTGGATTGCATGCTAACTATAGAGTACTGATTAATGTGTTGGTAACAATACCTTTCTGCTGTCAGACTGTAAAGACTCTGTAGCCTTTGATGCACCAGCAGTACTGAAACCCAAAATAGAACAGGCTTGTCCTTAATGACCACGTCAGCTGTTGCCATTGAGGATCATGATTATCATAGACCCTTTTTATGAAGGGGAAGAAATAAAAAACGCATCCTGGTGTAACCTGGCTGATGAAAGAGGAAGTCAGAGTGATTGCCCCCAAAGCAGCAGCTTTCCTTCACAATCCTGTTTTCTCCATACACCTCAGCAAAGATCCGTAATGTTAGAGTCTATAAATATGAATAAGGTCAGGTCAGTAATATCATCCCAGAGATCTCTGCTGTTGCATAATTTGATGACAAAGACCCTCTCAGTGTATAGCTCATCTAGAATTACTACCTTGCCCTCCAAATTCTGGAGCATATGAAGGTTTATTTGCTACAGCCACCTATATCCCATTTGATGTCTAGTCATCCTCTTCTACACAGCCAAGTAATTGTGCCATCTGGTGGTATCAGCCATAATTGCAATTGTTGTCAGGATCAATCCACTTCCTGCAGTTGTGTTCCTGAATGTTAGCAGGGTTCTTTGCCTGATGGAAAAGTTTGGAAAACACTTTGTGCTAGTTTCCCTTCCCCTCTCTTATAGTTAAAGAATTTGCCCTGCACATCAAAAACTTTCTTCTATTGCAAATGCCATCCTCCTAAACCGAATTGATCAGGTAGCAACAGGTACTTGTTACTTTCACCCCCACTGCTCTCAAGATTGTCCCGTGGATGATGATAATAAACACCCTGGTTTTACACCCCCCAGATTTGCTGATACAGCCAGCCTAAGAAATCTTGCCTTAAAAACACAAAAAGCTAAATATTTGTGTCCAGTACTGTTTATACAGGAAAAAAAAGAGTAAAGAATACAGTGCAAAATACACATGAGAACTCTAGAGCACTGGTTTTCAACCTATGCCATGTAGACCCCTGGGGGGGTCTGCAGACTATGTCTAAGTGGTCCACAAAAGATGATTATCTTTTGATCAATCAAAAGTATGTGAATACCCACACTTGCCATTCAAAGGGGTGTACATCGCAATTCCATTCCAAATTTTTTAGGGGTCCACAAGTGAAACGAGTGAAAACCAGTGTGCCAAAGCCCTGTTTAGTCTGAATAAAAGTAGCTTGAGCCTCAAACTGCATCTGCATCCATGTTTGAGTAAAAATATGGTTGCTGATGCTCAGGGTTTCTTGAAATAAGGACCTTGGATGCCCTGTCTCACTTCCTTCATCTGCAAGGTTGGAGGGGGGGGGACTGGCGGGAAAGGCACTGGAGGGAAAGCATCACTGAGCGTCACAGCCTGTTGCTGTTCCTGCTTACCCAAAGGAGTACCCTGATGACAGGGCTGGTTTTGGGCAAGCTAGGCCTCGGGCACATCACAGCATGGGACATCCAGTGGCTCTGCCACTGCTTTGCTTGTCCCTCCTCCCTCTTCCTTCTGGGAGCCACCCAGGGAATCCCTGTCCTCATTACTGCCTAGAGAGCAGCAAGGCCCCTGGCATACACCTCCCCAGCAGCCAGGAACCATCTTCATGCATGCAGGGGAAGATGGGGCAGGACCACAGCATGGTACGCATGTCACCACTGCAGAGCCCTGTTATGCTGGGGCACTTTATACCTCAGAGCTGCTGTTTCAGGCTCCTGGCTGACTCTGGCAGGCACTACCCTCAGTGTGCCCCTCGGTCTTCAGCATCACTTTGCAGCCCTGGGTTCTGTGTAGGGGGGGTGGGGGGAGGAGGGGACAGCTGGATGCTTGATGGATTCGTCTGCCTCCAGCCACAGCCCTCCACCAGCCTGAATGAAGCTGAAGCTGGTGCTTCCTACTTCAGCGAAGCAGCTTGGGCGTGATGGGGAGGCCCACAGGAGCCTTGAGGCTGGGTCAGGACTGGTGGGCACCTGCTGGAAGTCTGTTGGAGGTCTGCCCCCAGTGCCAGAGCTGTTTTTTAAATTTATAAAAACTATATCTATATTCACAACTCACAAACTACACACACACACACACATATATATATGCACACATGCACATATATACACATACACATATATGTACACATGCACACACACACATACAAAGATGCACACACACATGCACATACACATCTCTCGCTGTATATATGCACACAGATACGCACGCGGACACACAAGTGTATATATGCACACGCGCGCGTGCCCACACACAAAACAGCCCATCCACATAACCAAATCCAAACACAAAATGCCAAGCACTGCTCTGCCCACAAGCCTATACTCTCCTGACATCGAGATGAGTATACACTTAACAGCTAAACCTCCATTTTCCACCTTTTCCACTTGTCTCCTCTTTCACTACCTGCGCGGGGCAGCGGAACAGAACACTGGGGGCGGGCTCGGGTGGGGGAGCACAGCTGGCCACAGCTTGCGGGAGGGGGTGGAGCACAGCTGGCCCCGCCCCCCCCGGAAACTGAAAGCGAAATGGTGGCTGGGAGCTCCGGCATCGCTTGCTCTGGCCTGGCAGCGCCGGGGGCGGCCTGCGCTGGGCTGGGCTGGGCAGGACAGGGCAGCTATGGAGCGGCAGGAGCAGGGAGAGGCGGAGGCCGGGATCTCGCTGCACCACTTCAGCGGGCGGCTGGGCGAGCAGCTTGTGCACTTCCAGGCCATGCGGCTGCGGGACTCGCTGTTCCTGTGGGTGGGCTCCGCGCCGCTGCTCGGCAGCCTGGCCGTGGCCATGTGCAGCCCCCGCGTGAGTCCCGGCCCCTCCCTGGGCTCCGGGGAGACTCCTGCCCCCTCCGGTTCAAGGTCCGGGAAGGGGGGGTATCAAGCCCTGGGCAGCGGTTGAAAAAGCGCCCGAGTGATTTAGGAGCCAGAGCGAATCGGGCGTCTCAAGGCAAGGCGGGAGCGCTCTGCAGCCTCGCTCGCTTCACAAGCACCCACGAGCCCTAGGGCCGGGGTCGGCCAGGCACAGGGAGAGATTTCCCGTCCTCCCCTTGCTCTGTGATCCTCCCCTGGGTGCTGCAGCGCCGCGAGAGCCTCCTCGGGGCACTGCGGGTGCCATGCCGTGTTGACGCGGGGACCCCACGGCCCGTGCCCCAGAGCACGGCCATTCCCACACCTGCAGCACCGTGCCGCACCAGCCCTCTGAGGGCGTTGCAAGAGAAGGATCGCTTTGGTCCAAGGACCCCAGCGCTCCTTCCCGCCCAGGGCAGGGGGTCGGGCTTGATGGTCTAACAGGTCCCTTCCGACCCTAGAAATCTTTGAAATCTATAAAAAGAGTGAAAGCCAAGCACTGACTGGCCTGGAGGGAGCCTTGAGTCTGAAATGGTGATTCACATGGCATCCTGAGAGGCCCCGAGATGCTTTCAAGGGTGCCATGGGGTGCCAAGCAGTACTGGTACTGTCAGGTGTGCAGACACGATTCACAAGATAAACCCAACAGTTTCAAATGAATCCTTAGTGTTTCTGACCTGCCGGGGTCTTTCTGAGCTCTCTGTAATGGAAGAGTTGCTCTATTACTTTCACTCAGCTTTTTGAGTGCAGAAGAATAAGAGCTGGCACTTTCCGATGGGTGCCTAGAATCAGAAAAGGTTGGGAATGTCTGCTTTTGTCCCATAGTAGAAGAAAGGAGACCTAGGCCACTCTTTAACTGGGGTCTACACTACCGTAATATATAGAATCATAGAAAATTAGGGTTGGAAGGGGCCTCAGGAGGTCATCTAATCCAACCCCCTCTAGCCCCAACTAGATTACCCCAGCCAAAGCTTTGTGTAGCCAGGTCTTAAAAACCTCCAAGGATGGAGAGCCCACCACCTCTTTGGGTAACCTGTTCCAGTGTTTTACTACCCTCCTAAGTAGGTGAAACTGTTTTGTAATGAGGAAAAACTTAATCTTTAATTCCAGCCTAAACAGTCTCTGAGGCCTTTCAAAGATCATTCATGTTATTCCAACTACTTTGTGCATTTTAACAGCTGCCCATTTGCTGACAATGCTGCAGCTAATACTGCTTCATTTAAGCTAGATGCAAAAGTCCACTGCTGTGGATAGCTCACAGAAGGCAAAGAGGTGAAATAGGTCTCTTACCACAGGGTAAGAGAACATACACAGCCTGAGCAGAGCAGCTGACATGGTGAATCCTGATATCCTCTTGCCTTATGGTAAATAGTTTGCCTGCCCATACCATAGGGGATTTGAGAAGAGAAGCCTCATTGTACAGCCTAATCTAAGGTACAACAGCTTGCTCTGTAGCGTAGACCTGGTCCCCAAATCAGTGTACCTGCAGAGCTCACCTTCACCAATGGTAGCAAACATGCTCATTGCAGGTACTCAAATATTTTTGGGTACTGTAAGTTGGATTGTATCCTTTGCAACAAATGAATACAGAAAAAGCAAATACTGTTTTGGCTTCTTGAGCCTTTCAGCCATTTCACGGGGGGAAATGGAAAGCTCATCTGCACATAGAATAAGCAAGCTGCTGTTTGCTTTGTTTTCAGGACTCCATTCCAGTGTCTACATCACTTCTTGGAGACCCATCGGACACCACTTCAAATTCTCTTGCTCAGCGATTAGGTATGCAGCATTGTTGATGGCTTTCCGTGACATCAGTGCTTTTGACCTGTTCTACTCTGGCAGTCAGCTGTCACCATTACACGCATTGCATGACTCTTTAATAGGAGTGTGTTTCCATCATGGGCAGACCATTCATTTGCTCCTGTCTAGCTTGAGCCTGAATCTTGGCTAAAGTTTTCATAGTGTTAAAATGAAGTATTAATGTAACTGAAGAACTTTATTTGGTATGGAGTCCTTCTTCAGCAAAGTGTATGACCTCTTGTGTAACCTTATGCACATGAGTAAAGCCAGTGAAATCAATTAGACCTCCTGGGCTTAAAGACAAAAGTGTGGTTATGTACCTTCCTGAATTGGGGGGCCAGCTGCTATTTCATGTGGTATAGGCTGGCAGCAGTGATGATGGCTGTTTCTTGACATTTCCCATTATAACTTCTTGTTTTCAGTTGCTTGTAACTTTGCCAGACTTCAGGCAATTTGGGCTGAAATTTTCCTTGCAGGTTGCTGCCTCAGATTGATTTTGTGTGAGTGTGCATGTTAAACTTCAGCCAGTTCAGTTGCTTCCAAGAGTGGGATTAGGGGACATTTTTCCAGCAATCTTTCCTCTGAAAAGCCATAATACCTCCAAACTTTGGAACAGGGACTTGAATTTTAACAAGGGGTAGGCCTTTGTGGCAGGGACATGCCTTTTCCTGTCTTTGGGGAAAAAACTTGCCTAAATTTGGCCAATTAAAACCTTTGAAAAACCACAGTTCCTATATACTTAGCTGGGACCCTTGCATTTTAGCACCTAATGCCACTAAAGATTCCCTCTTTGCTGAGCACACTTCTTCCTTTTATAGTGCTGAACAGACTCTGCATGTGCCAGGATTGAATGCTTTCTAGTTTTATAGGGGCTTAGGGGCTCTTTTGGACCTGGTACTAGAACTGAGAGCTGCGATCTTGTCTTTTATGCTGTTGGTCGCTACCCTTTATAATGCTTTGCTTAGGGGAGAATGACATTTGCTTCACAGGGAGAGGCTATTTTTTCCAGCTTATTTAAAAAAGCAAACAAACAAACAACACCCTCCACTCCCCCTCCAACCCCCCCCCAGCAGCTGCTAGAC